ATTAGCTGTGAAAATGATCCATGGGAAACTAATAATGAGTCCAGATCCATAGCACCGAAATGATTTTTCAAATATCAATCAATGGATCGGTCGGTTGCTGTTGGCCTGGCTTACTATATTACCATTAATCTTGGCCGCGTGCGCAACTGTTGAAGTTTTTTTTGTGGAGCAGAAGGTGGCCGAGGGCAGTGCGATTATGCGGGCAGAAATTAACAGCCAGCCAAAACAATTAGTCCGTCCAAGACTCCAAAGACTTCCAAGACTCTTATCATTTATCTTTTTTACGAATGGCGTTTCATTATTGTCGATATATTTTTGGAATGTGCCGCAAGTGCCGCGAAAATTAACGCAAATGCTGAATGGCTAATTGAGGGGGAAGTCTTCAAAAGAAGTTGGCCAAAAAAGGGTATCTTAACTTAATCAGGGGTTCAAAAAAGTTGAAAAATATAAAGCACTTTAAAAGGTAAAACAAGCTATAATTATAAAAACTTATTTTTGCCAAAAACTATCAAGTAGTGTATTCAATATTCGTCTTGGCCTAAATAGATTTTTTAATCGGTTGCTTGAGGAAGCGCCACCTGTGGGGCGTTCGCTGAGCCTTTGATATGGAGCCGCCACAGATCTGGATCTCAGATGTAGATCCCATTTGTGGGGTTCAATGGGGTATCGATCCGCCGACCTTATGAATGCCTAACGTTTTATCCATTCCCGGCCCGGTCTGGCAATCAGATTATGTCACATCCGCCTGGAGTGGCATCGAGTGGATTGCCACTCGAGTTAGTGGCACACACAGAGGCTCGAAACAGAGGGGCACCATTGATCGCCCGGTTCCGTTCTCTATCTGGCCAAGATTGCTCCATTAGCGCCACTCGGCGGAGGCTTGAAAGGGGGTGAGGATGCTGCAACTGCAACTGCAACAGCAGCAGCAACTGAATGCAAATTGCAGGCAGGGCTAACAAGCAATGGATTTTCTTGGTAGTTTATTTTTTGAATTTACTTTTTTTTCAAAGGTTTTTTTTTTTGTTTTTTTGGCAAAGCCTATGGCGGCCAAGATGTCTTCCTACTCTCGGAATGGTTTTCAGCTGCGTGATGTTGCTGCTGCTGGTGGTGCTGGTGGTGCTGGCGGTGCTGCTGTCGGCGCGGCCAGAAATAGCATAAAACTCATAAACGAGGCAAGCGAGTCGAGTCGCGAGGCAAGGCAAGGAAACATGGCATGCCATTTGAAAATTTCATTTCGTTATAATTTTCTATTTCCCGCATGCCAAACGGCCCGCCAGGCAAGACCCAAGGGGCCCCTACACTCGACGAAAAAAACCCAACCTCTATATTCCAAATTAAAGCCTAGGGCATAAAATGCCCGCTTTTACGAAAGTCTTAAGAATTATTGTGAGAAAATATTTTACCATGAGAAGCCTCAAAACTTCTAAACATAATTTTTTAAAGAAAAAGTTGACAATTTTCTTGAGTGCAGTTGCCGAAAAAGGAGGCGGGTCTGCTGGGCTGGGGGGCTGAGACCACCCCCTTTATACTTACTAACTAAACGAACCAAGGTTCGTCATCTAGCGCCGCCATTCATACTTAATTACCAACCAAAAAAAAAAAAAATAGAGAGAAAAAAAATGGAAAAGAAAAATCAACAGCAATCACAGAAAAGTTGTCTCTTCTCTGGCGTGACGCTAAATGAGACTCCCCCAACCACCTAGTTTTCTTGCCCCGTGGAAAATCTTATGACCAGGTAGACCCAACCAGACACCACCCAAAAAAAAAAAAAAAACAACAACAAAAAAATATGATGAATTGTGGGTGCCGTTGAGTAAGTTTGTCGCTTCCACTCGTAGGCGTTGACCTAAATATACGAACTGCGGTGTGTCGGCCTAGCATAGAAGAGCATTTTCCGCTCTGCGGTCTTCAGATTCATTCCGTTTTGTAATCGCTTGCTAAACATTTTCCCCATTTTCCCTCAGACAACAGAACCAGCAACAAGTGCAAAACCCCAACCAACCAAGAGAAACCAGAGTCGCCAGTTATCCATATGGTAATGGATCCCCAGCTGTCAAGGTTCTCTAAAGAGGGGTTCTTCAGGTATTGCTTTTCTCAATGAAACATATTCTCGGATATACATAGTGCCCCATAGACTTGGCAAGGTGACAAGAAACCGCAAAGATAGAAATTAATATTCAATGCTGCTTGCAACATACAAGTGACAAATAATTATATAATATTTAATATTATATGATCATATTATAATTAAGATTTTGCCAGTCTGTCTCCGTTTTCGGACAAACAAATCTGGGTATCTGGGTATCTATAACAAACAAACAAACATCGGGAGCTAAGCTGCTGATTCTGCTTTGACGCGGACTTTTGCCAGATCAAATCATGTTTTATGAGCAGCTAATTTACTTAACACCTCACCCAAAAACAACACACCAGAATCCCCAGCAGTCCAACCAAAAAAAAAAAAAAAAATCTGAAGTAGCCCGCAAGCTAAATACAAAAGATGTGACTTTTATTTATTTTTCACATGGCCTTTCTTTGTTTTTTAATTTGTCGGGTTCTTTTTTTTTTTTCGTCAAAGGGGCATGGCTTATAGCCATGTGAGGGAGGGGTCGTGGGGGGGCGGTGGAGTAACTGACGTTCACGGCGTGGGTGTAAATTGGGCATAAAATGCGACCAGTTAATTCATGATACTACCGATTCAGTCAGGTTCGAAGGCATTTTAATTGGTTTTAAGCAGACTTCGGCACACGGGGCGTATGAATAATAAAAACTCCCGCTCTCCCTACTCCCTGCCCCCCCTACCAAAAATAGTACAGGTTGCAGAATAACCGAACCGAACCGAGTCAGATATAGATTTTTTGATTGATTTGGAAGTTGAGAGATTTTTAACGATCGCGAGGCTGACGATCTACAGGCATTTATTTATGGTCTCATATGCAAATCGAGTCAAAGAAATTGCCAAATTCGCTTTTGGCCAAAGTGAAAGGAGTTGACAGACACAGTTGGTATGTATGTGTGGGTGTGTGTGGCTATTGATTAGTATGCATTTCCGATGACTAATCGGTTTTTTTTGTGCGGTACTTTTCGCGATCGATCGATTCCCAAGCATTTGCTGCGTTTGCAGTCAAAATAAATCAGTCAGTCGGAGCCAAAAAGTAAATATCCTGTTAATGCTATATGGTTCATTCAGAATCGGAGATCCAAACCCCTGAGGGAGAAAGAGCGAAGGAAGCGGGGCAGAAAGTAAATAAACATCAGATAATAAACCTCCCAAATGGGGGGTGGGAGTTGGGGGGGGAAAAAAAGAAAATGGAGACAATGAGAGTCGAGTGGAGAGTCAACCAAGAAAGAGAGAGAGAGAACAGCTGATTGCAGCTGATTTTTGAGATACGAGGAAAGGGTTGGGTTGATTCTTTCTTCTTCTTGCATTTTTAGAGGGGGGCGGACTGGGAGATGGGTGGTAAGCTCCCCTTCTCTCCCCTTCTGTGTGTGTGTGCGAGAGCCATGACGGAAGAAGAAGCAGCAGCAGAAAGGAGCGAAGAAGAGAGAGAAAATGAATTAAAAATCTAATTGCGCCCGCGATGAAACAAAGCACATCATCCAAGAGGGAGAGACAATCTAAAAACAACAAAAACAACAAAAAAAAAAAGTCAGAGGAGGTGGAGGCGGGGCAGTAGGCGGTGGGGGCGGGGTCGGGTGATCGCACTTAGTCGCGTTACAGACGCAAAACTCCATGAACCGCAACGCAAGAATAATTACAACAAAAACACCACCACCACCACTACCACCACCACCACCAAGAAACCTAGGGTTGGGTCTTCCAACCGCAAAGGTCGAATGCAGACAACAACAACAACAAAAGATATATAAGAATAACAACAACAAGAACGACAATGACGATGACTTTGTGAGTTGAAGTTGAATCTAAAGCTAAAGAATAAAACACTTAAAAAAATTCAGAGCTTTATTAAATAATTCATAATTAATAAAGGATTTTTTTAAAATTATTTTTAAGTTTTAGGAAAAAAATAAATATTTATCCTTCAAGAGAGCTTAGAACTTCAACCTATTTTCTTAAAGTGCAAACAGAAATGAGTTTTCAAAGTTTTCCAGCTTTTGGGGGAGTCAGAAGGGGATTGGTTGGGGGCTAGGGAGGGTGTCCAGCTTGCAAAGTTAATGCGAATTTAATTAAAATGTGCAACTAGCAACAGAGCAGCAGCAACAGAGCAGCGGCAGCGGCAACTGCAACTGCAACAGCCGCATCGGGAGCGGCAACAATAATAAATTCTAGATGTGAGCATTTTTGTGTTGCCCAGCAACCAAATTGAGGAAGGCACAAAGAATCCCATCTGAAGAAGACCGAAGAAGACCAGGCCTAGACTTGGACAAAAAGCTGCAGCAACAACAAAAGCAACAAAAAGACTTGCAATTCAAACAGGCGCATGTGCAACATACGAACCTGCAGTTGTATGGGTGTGTGAGTGTATTGCATAAAATTATTTCGGTCTGGTGAATATTAGCAGAGCGTGAAGTTGGCAAATAAGAAATTCAGCTGCACCAGAAGCTACAACAACAAAAAAAAGCAGCTAAATTTCATTAAACAACACTAACAACAACAATGGCAAAAAAAAAAGAAAAAGAGCCACCGCCCGGAGAAAGAGGCAGCTGCCACTGGAGAAGACTTAAAAGAAAGGTTACGAGAGAGAAAGGGATTTTCATAGTTTTGTTATAATTCCCAACTATTTTTATCTAAGACTGTCTTCCCAGTAGGTGACGAATGAAAACTAGGCTTATAAGCTTTAAAAAAAATCAAGTTCATTGAACGCATAAACCCCCTTAAGGGGTAAATGGCTAAAAATACAGTTAAATATTATGCAAAATTTCACTCCAATTTCTTTGTTTAATAATTTTAATAGCTTTTCCTCCAGACTACCTAATAGATCCCAAGATAACACCTTATTTTATATATAAAAAAAATCATAAAATCGAAATCCACTCACCATAATTTGGACTCACAGCCATCTTGACCGCCTCCAGCACCGAGGGCGTTACCCTGACTGGCTGGCCGAGGATGGTGAAGTTGCCGGGATTCGTCTGCTGGACGAACATCATATAGGATATATCCGAGGCCTGCTGCAGATCGTTGCCGGACCGGAGCAGGCCCCGCGGCAGCAATCGCTCGCGGTAGATGTCGCACTCTCTGCTGGTGTTCCTCAGGGCGAACTGCAGCCGGACGAGCTGGGGCAGCTGGAGGTCACGCTGCTGCTTGTACACCTCCAGAACCTTCATGGTGGCCGAGAAGTTGACCCGCCGGTCCGCCGACATGGACTTGAACACGCCCCGGAAGACGGTGGGCGCCGCAAAGGCCAGCTGGGCGGGATCACGGGCGGAGCAATACTTTCCGGAACCGGGACGACCTCGATGCTTCCGCTGGTGTTGCTTCCTCCGCTGCTGCTGTTGCTGCTTCTGCTTGTGCTGATGGTGATTGCGGGGCTGGTGGGGATTCCGTTGCTCCTGGCGCTGCTGCTGCCGTAGCCGGCGATGGTCCCGCTTGTCCTGCTGCTGCCGGGTGCGAGGATGTTGCCGCTGCTGGTTGCCGCCGTCGCGTCGACTGCGTACCGCCTGATCAGCCCGACTATCTGGCACTTCGTAGGACTCTATAAAGTAGCTGGGCACTGCTCTTCTACTATAGTTGCTTGCTGCTGCCTGTTGCAGATGTTGCAGCTGCTGCAGATGCTGCTGTTGCTGTTGCAATTGCAGTTGATGTTGCAGATGTGTGGGTTCAATGTGACGTCGCATTTTACTGCTCGCCGCCTCGCTGGACTTGCCATTATTTAATAAATTATATAGTTGACTATTGATTAACGTATTTGGAACTTTTTGCATTGACTGCTGCTGCTGCTGCGGCTGCTGTTGCTGCTGCTGCTGCTGCTGTTGTGGCACGGCAGCAACATGTTGCTCTGGTGCGTCGAATACTGTTGCTGGCATTAACTTAAGATTGCTACGGCTACTAAGACTATTGCTGGTGTGGCTGAGCAGCCTACTTAAGATATTGTTGTCGATGTTGCTGCTACTACTACTACTGCTGCTGCTGCTGCTTTCTCTACTGCCATTATCCAAACTCAGTGGTATATAGTAGCTGCTTTCTTCGGCACTGCCTTCCCATAACCTTTGCTGTTGCTGCTGTGGCTGATGCTGCTGCTGTTGGTGTTGCTCTGTTGCTGTTGCGCCTGCAACTATCATCGTCGGATAGAGCAACATGTTGCTGATAATTAGCAATATCAATGGCATTAGTTGCTTTTTTGTTTTTAGACTCCATTTGCGCAAATGTTGCGCATACATGGCGTCCTCCAAAGTTGTTGCTGCTATTGCCCCGACTTTATTTACAAAATCTTAATATTGCTCGCGGTTCTACGACGAGTATTTGGTTGCCAGTTGTTGCTGCTGCTGCTGCTGGTGCTGCCTTGCTACGCTGGGGGGGTTGCTCCTATGTTGAGCGATCCTTGAGATTTTGGTGTTGTTATTGTTGTTGTTGTTGTTTAATCGTGACAAATGTTACCGTCGCTGCCTCGTCGCTGCTGTGCCTTGTCGTATTTTCGTTTATCCTGCAAATACTTTCGATAGTTTCGTAGCATTTTGAGCGACAGACGAGGCGAAATAAGAGACGGACTGTTCAAGTTCGAGTGATTAGGAAAAAGAGAGATAGTGGTGGCAAGGGAAAAATTGTTTTTCGAAAATCTTTTTCGAATTTTTCTACCGCACTGTATTTGTAGCATTAATTTATGAAAACACTTGGCTGCCAATTGTTGCTGTTGTACGCGATGTTGCTACTGATGCTGCTGTTGCTGATGATTGCTGATTCTCCTTTTGATGGTGACTCATTTTGTTTGGCCGAATAAATAGAATTATCGTTTTTTGGCTGCGTTTCACATGGACGCACGGCCACGCCCCGCTGCACGCCCCCCCCAAAAATATTATTTCGAACGGGCCTAAGGTCGCGTGGCGTTTGGAGCGTTTTTTTCACGAGGTTTTTCACGCGCGCGCACCGCTTGCGATTCGGCTACCGATTTGGGTTCGGATTTGGATTCGGCTTTAGCTTCGGCACCCGATTGGTCGTGTGTACTGAACGCTTTTGATGTTGCTGGCTGGTTGTTGTTGTTGGCGTTGTAATTGTAATCCTCGCCGCGAGAGATATACGATAATGTTTGTCTGGCCGTATACGCGATCTATATAGCCGTAGCCGTAGTCGTAGCCGTAGCCGTACGTAGTCTGATTCACTGGCGACGAGTGTTTTCTGGCACACACACACACTCTGCCGCGGCCGCGGAATTCTCCTCTTGTCTCTGATCTCTGACGAAGACGACGTCGACGACGACGACGACGATGATGAGGTTTTGATGCTGATGATGATGATGTGCGATATAGCAGACACGGACTTCGCGCACACGGATACGGGTGATATGCACTGTGGCAAGGGGAGTCACGGGTATGGACACGGGCACGGGTACGGGTACGGGTACGGGTACGGGATACCAACACGTCGAATGTTGCCGTAGACGGATACGCACACTGTTACACCGCACACACCGCACAAACACACACAAACACGTCTTCTAATTTTAGACAAAAGTAATTATAAAAGAAAAAAACAGAGCAGAGTGCGCCGCTGCCGCGTTCAGCTTATACGCATAGATATATCTTCTACTTTGGCTAGATATATGCATACACGTATATACCCGCATCTGGCTATGTATCTGTGCACCTTTTGGCTGTATTGGTGCACTAGCCGATTATATAGAAAAGTCGTCGCAACAGTCGGCTATTTGTATATACAACATGCATATATCTGCAACATACAATCACAATCGCGGACACGAGAATCGTTGAATTGATCGTTTTTTTTTTTCGTTTTTTATTTTATTTTTTATTATTTTTGTTTGTTGTTGTTGTTGTAATTTTGTTTTATATATCTCAGATGCGTACGAGAATATATACCAAAAAGTGTAGACAGATATTGTTGGGTTTTTGTTGTGTCTATGATGATGCTCCCCGGCTGGCTGGTGTTGTTGCTGCTGTTGTTTCCGTAGGTTTGTTGGTGTTTTTGTAATAAAGTTTATACACTCCGGCGCTTTATCGGCGCTTTATCATCTATAGCCGCTATAGCCGCACACCCGTCGTAACCGCAACGAAATCGAAAGTCCTTTACCGATCGATCGGTTCGATTTTTCAGCGCTCAGTGGGCCACTTTTGAAATATTTCATAAATATTTTTTTTTTACAACATCTGATGAAATTCGTCCATCAGAATTTTAATTCTTTTTATTTTTTGTTTAATTTTTATTTCATTGATTCTTTCAATTGCTCTGGATTTTTGTTTCGAATTTATTTCATATGGCGCTTTCACACCGAATCGGAGAACCGCACTGATTTCGAATCACTCGACTCGTGTATCTGAGTGTATCTGAGTATCTGAACAATAATATTTGGCTATCTTTCGGATTGCCGACAGTCGCGCGTTCCGTTTTCAGTTGCGTTCGACAGAGGTTCGATCGAACCAAAGAGAGCCGCAAACAGGGGTTCGAACAAGTTGCAAGTTATTTGAGAAAATTTAAGAGAGTTCTCTCACTTGAAACCAAAAAAACTTCAAAAATTCTTAAATTTTAAATGCATTTGAATTTAGAAATATTGGAAAATTTTTAAAAAATAATTTAAAGGGACCTAATTTATAGAAAAATATTTGTTTCATTATTGCATTTAAGATTTATATTCTTTAAATGTCATACAAAAAATATTTATTAGAAGATATAATATTTTTGGTTTAAAAAGATATTAATAGCAGTAAAGCAAAAATATAATATCTACCAACAAATATCTTTAAAAAGCTACGAAATATCGAATTTTTTTATATTATTTCTGTAAGTTTAAAAAAAAGGTAGAACTAGGTAAAAACTGTAAAAATTTTATTTTAAATTTTCTCAAATGTTTGCTTTTTAAAATGATCCAACTTTTAAAGTTTTTTGATGTCGACATAGGACTCTGTTCCGTATTTTATCCTTTCACATATCCTTAAATATCAAGGACTTTTATATTCCTTTTCATTTCCTTCCGTTATATGAATATGGGATAAGAATTTCTTTTTTATTTGGACGAAAAAATAATTTGAGCTCCATCATGGAAGTGTGTCTTTAAAATTCAGAAGGACTTTTTCATTCAGTACCTTTATCCTTCAGCCTCTGTTATCAATCCATAGCAGTTGTTATTAAATTAGTTTTGTTAAAGTTTAAGATATAATTTTTTTTTACCTATAAACCCTTCTATCTCTCTTTTTCCTTTTCTATCCCTTACTCTGCAGACCTTTTTGAAAATCATTCAAAGTCTCCTTACCTGATCCCAAGCTTGCAAAACTTATAGAAATTGTCAATCGATCACCTTAACACTTTCCTTCAACCTTTTAGTTGAAACTGAATTGATAATTGCCCTGGGGTGGGTTTTTATACCAATACGGAATCTATATCGTCCAGGCCCCCCAATTATCTAGCCCTACCAATAGATAAGCCATAAGTAGCGATTGGCTATAACTTCGAAAGTGCCGACTCTCGATCGTCGAGCTTCTGATAGGCTACTGGAAAAGCTCTCCAGTTGGGGAGAGGGTTTCTGCAATATAATAGTTTTAGTTCATAGATAGCCCTAGTCCTTAAATGACTCATAATCCAGGGGGAGTGTTCTCTTGGGGTGTTAATGATTCATAAATTATGTTTGATTATGGGGGGACTATGAGTCCAAAACATGGAGGGCCCAAAAAACTAGACTCTAGAAATTGTAAATCGATTCATCTATTACCATCATGATTCAACGCTTTCATTAGTCTTAGCTTTGAGGCCTCCTAATATTTTCTATTTATTTTCTTTCTCTTTAAGCTTAGAGACTTGGATGAGGCGCAATTCTTCTGGGGGCTCAGCCAGCTCAGCTTTTTTCCCATGATTATTTGCTTTATTGTCAAATGTCAAGCCCACAAAACAGAAACAGAAACTGAAACAGAAACAGCAGCAAAAACAACATGAAGACAGGTAGGTACAGGTGATTTCAGGTTGGGAGTCGTCGTGTAAACTTAACGTTTTTCATCATCTTGTTGTTATTGTTGTTTTTGTTGTCAAATACACAAAGCTTCCACTTGTTCTACGCACTGCGCATAACAATAAAAGAAGCTGACAATAACAACAAAAAAAAAAAAAAACTCTGAAAACTGAAAAAAAAATCATATCGTGAGGGGGAAACCTGGCAAGAAACGGGGGGTTCTGGGTGGCAGTGACAAGTGCGACAATTGTAAGAAAAACCAGAAGCAGAGCCCGAGTTCAAAGTCGGCCAATTGTGACGGAGCTGGGCCAACTTAGACCGGGTTGTTGCCAAAGAAAAAAATACAGGTACTTACCCTACTAACCGCCAACCCGCTAACTGATAAGAAATTGCAAAAAAAAAAATGTAAGGCATACTTTGCTAGGCCTGATAGTGATAAAAGTTCATATTCTAATCGATTACCTCATTTTAAAAACAAAAAAAAAGTATCTCTTGAAAACGGAAACGGAAGTAAAGCTTGCCACCTGTCTGGAGATCAGAGTTCAGAACGAGGCAGGTAGATACAAATGTGTGGCATCCAGAGAGCACATATTTGGGAAGCTGCCAGCAACAATCGTGGGCCATTGTGCGGGCGGAAGTGCAGGAAGTTAGCGTTAAACAAGCTGCAGAATCCATGGATCCATGGACCTGCCCCCAACCCAGTGCCTATTTAGTGCCAGAACCTGGCTGACGACAGACAACAGCTGCCAAGCGCAGCGTCATTGTATCATCAAAAAAATATACACACACCAAACACACACACACAGTTGGTTGGATATATAGAATAACAATAACAACAACAGAAACAAGAAACAAGAATAGCAAGCCAAGCCCACTAAAATAACAAACACGAAAACATGAAAATTTTCCAAAAGCAATTTCGAAATGCGCGCAGGCGCAAACATCCATCCGAGAGCCAGAGCCCGAGTGTCTATTTGAGGTCAGAGGCCATGGAGTTGGTTGGGAAAACAGACCGAAGGAGAAACCATTTCAAATTAATTCCCACTCAAGGGCAACTTAATAGCTTTTAAATAATGTCAACCAAAACTCTAAATTATAAAAAAAAAAAAATAACAACGCCCTCTAATAGGTTTTAATATTAAATTTCAAAGTGATCTTAACATTTTAAATATATCAAAAATATAAAAATTAATTATAAAAGAACCCTATCTTAGAAAAACTTTTTTTATAGACCCCATTAAGTAAAATTCTGCATTCCGCCTTCCTACATAGACTCTACACTTCCGGAAATTAGAACTTAACTTATCAGCGGAACTGCAATATTGTAATTTAATTCATTACCAAGCACCTAAGCATTGTTAGTATCAAAAGTATTTATTTCCGAATTCCATTCCTAAATTGCCTTTTTGCCGGTGTACCAATCTATCGATAAGGCTTAAAAAGGCTTTAATAATGACAATAACAAACGGAAGAAAGATATTTGTGTATTTTATGGTTTACTTGAACTGCAAGTAAATCATAAAATATTTGATAAGTTCCTCCGCCAAACAATCGATCGATTTGATAAGAAATGTTTACCAAAGATAGGGTATTATAGTCATAGCCTTTCAAATCTCAATTGTTACTTGCCAGCGATTTGAAATAAGAATTACTAGTGTTATTATAAGATATTCGTCATTAAAAGTACGATCCGTATACGTAGGTGTCGATAGCTGTAAAGCTTCTCTGACGTAAGTAATTCCAATAACTTTCATTTTTTAAACAATTCAATAAATTAATTTTATCTCAGGATTTTGATGCAGAATGGTATAGAATCGATCTAGAAATCGTTTAAGGTACTCCGCTTGCGGAGTATCGATCTAGAAATCGTTTAAGGCACTCCGCTTGAGAATTGGATGAGAATTGGGGAAGACATAGACATCTCTGTGGACCCCATAGGGGAAACCCCCATTTTCAAGGATCCCATCACGAAAAATTGACAAAAAATCTGAAAAATATTTTGTCTTGGGATTTTGATGCAAAATGACGGGGAATCGATATAGAAATCGTTTAAGGTACTCCGCTTGAGAATCGGATGAGAATTGGGAAAGATATGGCCATCCCTGTGGACCCCATAGGGGAAAACCCCATTTGCAAGGATCCCATCACGAAAAATTGACAAAAAATCTGAAAAATATTTTATCTCGGGATTTTGATGCAGAATGATGGAGAATCGATATAGAAATCGTTTAAGGTACTCCGCTTGAGAATCGGATGAGAATTGGGAAAGATATGGCCATCCCTGTGGACCCCCCATTTTCAAGGATCCCATCACGAAAAACTGACAAAAAATCTGAAAAATATTTTGTCTCGGGATTTTGATGCAGAATGATGGAGAATCGATATTGAAATCGTTTAAGGTACTCCGCTTGAGAATCGGATGAGAATTGGGGAAGATATAGACATCCCTGTGGACCCTATAGGGGAAAACCCCATTTCCTAGGGATCCCATCACGAAAAATTGACTAAAAATCTGAAAAATATTTTGTCTCTGGATTTTGATGCAGAATGGTGGAGAATCGATCTAGAAATCGTTTTAGGTACTCCGCTTGAGAATCGGATGAGAATTGGGGAAGATATAGACATCCCTGTGGACCCTATAGGGGAAAACCCCATTTCCTAGGGATCCCATCACGAAAAATTGACTAAAAATCTGAAAAATATTTTGTCTCTGGATTTTTATGCAGAATGGTGGAGAATCGACCTAGAAATCTTTTAAGGTACTCCGCTTGAGAATCGGATGAGAATTGGGGAAGATATAGCAATCCCTGTGGACCCCATAGGGGAAAATCCCATTTTCAAGGGATCCCTTCACGAAAAATGGACGAAAAATCTAAAAAATATTTTGTCTCGGGATTTTTATGCAGAATGGTGGAGAATCGACCTAGAAATCGTTTAAGGTACTCCGCTTGAGAATCGGATGAGAATTGGGAAAGATATGGCCATCCCTGTGGACCCCATAGGGGAAAACCCCATTTTCAAGGATCCCATCACGAAAAATTGACAAAAAATCTGAAAAATATTTTGTCTCGGGATTTTGATGCAGAATGGTGGAGAATCGATATTGAAATCGTTTAAGGTACTCCGCTTGAGAATCGGTTGAGAATTGGGAAAGATATGGCCATCCCTGTAAACCCCAAAGGGCAAAACCCCATTATCAAGGATCCCATCACGAAAAATTGACAAAAAATCTGAAAAATATTTTGTCTCGGGATTTTGATGCAGAATGGTGGAGAATCGATCTAGAAATCGTTTAAGGTACTCCGCTTGAGAATCGGATGAGAATTGGGGAAGATATAGCAATTCCTGTGGACCCTATAGGGGAAGGGATTTTCAAGGGATCCCTT